TGAACAAAAATTGTTTTTTTAAAGAATTGTTTGGAAAAAATCCACCCAGATGACAAAACAGTTTAAGCTTAAAAAATCTACATAAAAACATTAAAAAATTGTATCAAGGGTGTTTTGAGGAGGAGCTAATTTGCACCACCTATGTACCAAATAAAATAAAAAAACGCGTTTAAAATTTTTAACAACTTTATTGCTTTGTGATCGCGGCAGAAGTGAAATCAGAATATTTTACAATGTAAAATTGAGCTATGCTTATGCTAAAATGCACATAAGAATGAAGTGAGGGAGAAAATGCAAGAATTTTAGTACTTCGCATGGGAGAATTACAGTTTTAAGATCATGCCATTTAGTGCTGCGAATAACGAAAAGTACAAAATTAGTGATGCTGCGAGTATCGAAAATACGAAGTTAGTTCTGCTGCGAACATCCTCCCCCCGTTGGAAGGTGTAGGCTTCCAACCGCCTCATTCTCGATAGGGAGCACAGCAAGTTTTCTCACGGCTCGCTTAACCAATCCATTAGCAGTGCGAATGATTACAACACGAGCCACACCATCAGCGCCACGAATTAAACTCTCCACCCGACCTAGTCGCCATTTCAGTGATGGAAGGTTTTCGTCTTTCAAAATGACCAACTTGAATACTCCCAGTTGATTTTCGCCACTTAACTCGCTCTTGCAGCAGTGAGAGATACAAGCTACTCCACTTTTTCCATAATACTTACCTGCTGCATATGACTAACGCGCTGCCATCGGTTTAAACGACTGATATTGAGACCGGTTACGTCTGGTTCAACGACAGATGTAAATGGCACACCTATGAGGAAATGAGCGGGCGTGAGCACGTCAAAATCATCTGGATTCTCCGAAATTGGACAAAGTGGACGAGAATTGATTATTGCTCCGATTTCACACACAAGAGTGCGAAGCTCTTCAAATGTTAGGACTGAGAGGCCAACAGTGCGAGAAAAGTGGAATTTCGCTGACTTAACCGCCGCCCCCCATAATCCACCAAAATGTGGTGAACGAGGGGGAATAAATCTCCAAGCGATGCCTTCTGAGTTTAATTGATTAGTGATTTCAATGTTATGAGAATTGCTTAAAAACAATTGCTGTTCGTCGCATTATCTGACCAAATGGTGTGTGGTTTGCCTCTTGTGCAAATAAAGCGTTTCAAAGCTGCCAAAAATGATGATGTAGAAAGATCTTTGACAAGTTCCAGATGACAAGCCTTAGTGCTGAAGCAAACAAAAATACATATGTAACATTTAATGGGTGGCCTATTGCGAACTTCCGACTTGCAGTAAAATGGCCCGCAATAGTCAACGCCAGTGGTAAAAAAGGCTCTGCTTGCTTGCACTCTATCGGCTAGTAGGCCGCCAATAATATGCTCGAACATTTTTGGTTTTAACTGAAACAACGAACGCATTTGTTTATGACACTTGCAGCAGTCTTTCGACCACCAATTGGCCAATATTGCTGCCGTATTTCAGCAAGTACGCTCTGCGGTCCAGAGTGTAAACATTTACGATGAAAGTGGGCAATTAGCGCTATAGTGACCGGATGGTGCTTTGGTAACAGGGGTATCCACAGGGGTTTTGCATCAAAGTCCAATAATGAGTTTTGCAAACGTCCTCCAACACGAAGAAGCCCAAGTGAGTCCACAAACGGATTTAATGAGGATAGCTTACTTGATAAATTAAGTTCCTTATTAACTCGTAGCGCCTTGAGCTCAGCTGCAAAATGAATTTGTTGAATATTATGGATTAGCAATTGTGTACCCATTTTAATGTTCAGCGGAGTCAAGGGTTGGTTATCAACTCGAGCACTGCGCGGTTGGCAAAAATAGTAAACGTATGCAAAGACGCGCTGCAATTTGTCAAAAGAGTTGTAGTACTTGCATTCGAGCGTTATGTCCCGCAATTGAGAAGTAATTAAAACCTTGCGTCGCCGTTCGGGTAAATCAGTTAAGAAATCCATGCTTTTCGGCCAATCTGAGTGCTCCGTTGACAAAAATGGTGGACCATTGCTCCAAAGTTCTGAATTTAGTAGTTCATTTGGAGTGCATCCTCTCGAAAGGATGTCTGCCGGATTCAAAGAAGTAGGCACGTGATGCCAATCCATACCCTCGGTTAACGTTTGTATCTGGCTAACTCTATTGGATACGAAAGTGTTGAAATTTGATGGTTGTTCGCGAAGCCAGGACAGAGTGACCATTGAGTCTGACTAGCAGTGAACGGTGTGAGAATGTGGAAAGTCGTGTGAAATGGATGCCACCATTTCCGCAACTAGCCAGGCTGCCGATAATTCTAATTTAGGGATAGTTAAACTCTTTAGAGGCGAGACTTTTGACTTTGCACAAAGTAAGCACGACTTTAAAAAAACCATCACAATCCGAACGAATGTATACGCATGCACCAAACGCTGCCAAGCTTGCGTCACAGAATGCGTGAATCTCCCAACTGGAATTAGGCGTCAGTACAAAGCGAGGAAATTTAAGGCTGCTGACTATACCAAACTGTGCAGAAATGTCAGTCTACGTCGTTTGCAGCAACTGAGGCAAACTCTCATCCCACTGCAGTTTTTCTCTCCAAAGGATTTGCAGGAAAATTTTTGCCTTCGTAATGAGTGGTGAAACAAGGCCAAGCGGATCATAAAATTTTGCAATATATGAAAGTATCGTGCGTTTTGTCGTGCGTTCGCTATAAACGATAGCCGAAAATGAGAATAAGAAATTATAAGGCTTAGGGTCTCAGATGAGGCCGAGAGTCTTCAGTTCTACATCAGTTCCATCATGGAATTTTAGTAGATTCTGACACTCTGAGTCAACAACTCCCTGTAGGCGTGCTCTTCTCGTTTGAGCACCACTTACGAATCTAGAATCCCCCACGCTGAAGTAAACCTCTAACCTGGCGTCTGATCTCAACAACTTATTCTATGGTATCTCCGCCCGAAATGAGATCGTCCACATAAAAGTCTCTTCTCACGATTTTTGCACCTACTGGAAATGACTCTTCTTCATCGTACGAAAGTTGATACATCGCGCGTATTGCCAGAAAGGCGGCTGATTTTGTACCATATGTTACAGTGTCTAACTTGTATACCTTTATCTCATCGAATGGATGCTCGCGCCATAAAATACATTGAAGATATTCGTCTGGGGATATCATACGTATGCATCGGTACGTTTTACATATGTCTCCGCACAGAGCGAATTTACGAAAACGAAATTGTAAAAGAGTTTTTAACAGCTTTGGTTGAATAGCTGGACCCGCTAGCAAGATGTCATTCAGCGAGTGGCCCGTTGTTGTTTTCGCGGAGCCATCGAATACAACGCGAAGCTTCGTCGTTGTGATGTCAAGCTTTTGCACGCAATGGTGCGGGAGAAAATATGTTTTTGTTGTTGCTTGAAACTTTGCCAGTGACATCCCTGCAAACCATATTTTTCAGAGTATTCTGAATCGTAAAGTAATTTTAACGAATTCGGAAAGATCCCATCCGTTTTTTTCCGAATTTTCTAAAATGAAATAAATTACGCACACTTCCATTATTTTACGAAATTTCGGAAGAAAATCGGTGAAGAAATGAAAATAATGCTGCTATGTGAAGAATTTCTTGAAGACTTTTCACAGAATTTTCTTTATTTTTCGTACAGAAATTTCTTTACGAGTTCGTGTCGACCACTTCATATAATTTTCTTTGAAGATTCGGAAAAAAATCGTTACAGAAATCAGATACTCCTAAAGATTTCGTTAGGATTTCGGGAACTTTGGTTTGCAGGGATATGGTTCAGCAATTTATACTTATTCATAAACGAAATATATTGAGTTTTTAAGTCATGATTATTTTCCAATTTTCTCTCTAAGTTTTTAAATATACGAAGCGCATGATTATATGAGTCGCCAAGAGCACTTAAATCTGTTTTTGTTGGCAAACGCACTGAATACTCTCCCGAGGCTAGCCGAGAGAAATTTTCTTTGAAATGTGGTTTGCACTAATCGTCTTCTTCAGATGGTGGGGGAGTAGAGTCGAAGCAATTCTCTATTTCCCAGAATCGTTTAACGATATCGTCCAATGAGTTGTTGGTTTGTTGTTGCTCAGATACGCTTTTGCTGCAAGCAGCGAGTGACGATGATTGTTTGTTGGTATATGAAACACCGTCTAAGACAACCCAACCCAGCAATGCGAATTTGGCCAACGCACATCAAATCAAAAAACAAACCTGCGCCAATAAGCCGCTGTGGTGAATAGAATAATGGATCTGCTAAATTAATATTTGATGGTATTTTCCATTCCGAAGAAAGGCTGAAGTTAGGTTGATAATCTGTAATGCGGGGTGTGACCACAGCAGCGAACGAAGTTTTGTAGCTTTTGTCTTGCGACTGGGCGAAAACGTCAATCTCTTTGTCGGCAACGAATTTGGATTCGCCGATGCCGGAAATTAAAATTGTTGATTGTTTTAATGGAAGTTGCAGCAGATTTGCCAAGCGAGTAGTTACAAAATTTATTTAAGAGGCCGAGTCGAGAATAGCACGACATGGAACGAAGTTGCCTGAGCGATTTTTTACTGAAAGTATTGCTGTAGCAAGCAACACATTACTGTTGGCTAGCGATTTCGGGGCTTGAGGAACTGAACTTGAAGTTAGGGATGAAATCAGTGTTTGCTGGGGAGAGTCTGTGGGTTCAATTATTGGTTGATTTGAAGACGGGGATATAGACGAGAGAAGCGGGCTCATATGGAGAAGCGAGTTGTGTTTGCCTAAGCAATGACGGCAATGCCCGGACTTATACCGTTGTAGATTATGGCCTTTGCGTAGGCAATTCAAACAAAGTTGCAGCCGCTTAGCATCTTTGTAGCGCAAAGTCGGCGACAAGTTTAAACATTTTATACAGTTATCTATGTAATGATCTTTCGAATCGCAGAATACGCAAAAACTAGAGCTACTTGAAGATGCTACCAAAACGTTTCTAATGCCTTTATTTGTATTCGAATTTTTGCCCACCTGGTTGCTAGGTGTTTGCGTTACAGTAGCACTTTCCCTAATTCGGCACCGCTTCTCCAGAAACAAGGTTGGTGAATTCAAAGTTAGCAATGTCTGCGTCGGCAAGTCCTCCTCCCACTTTTCCTGCGTCTTCTCATCGAACTTTCTGGTAACAAGATGTATGAGTATACCATCAGAAATTTGTTCAGGTGTTGCCAATGTGTTCAGTGCACGAAGATGCGAATTAAACTTGTCGCTCAATTCCCGCAAACCACTACCAGAACTCTTGTCGACAGTGTTTAACCCGAAAATCGCCTTAATGTGCGCCTGAAAAACAAGTAATTTGCTATCGAATCGATTTTTTAGTAGATAAATGGCTTTGTCATAATTCTCCTCAACCGGTTCTAGCGACCAAATGGTTTCCAAAGCGGCTCCTTGCAAACTAGCGCGCAAATGTTGAAGTTTTTCCACTTTGCTCAACTCGAGGTCCTTGTGAATAACGCTGCTGAACATGGCAAAGAAATTAGGCCATTCGATGTATGCTCCGCTAAATTGCGGTACTTTCAGCTCAGGTAGGCGAGATTTTCGTAGCGATGAAAATAACGTTGATTGCGGTTCTTCCAATGCGAAGTGTCTAACGGTCGATGAATGCCTGGCGTTTGGTTTCCGATGTAAATTGAGTTCGTGAGACAGCTTTGCTTTGACTTCTAGGTACACGTCGAAAAATTCTGCTCGGCCTGTTCCATCTAGTTCGCGCTGATCAGCTTCTTCGAGAATCGATCGCACGTGGTCAAAGCTGTCGTGCATGCTCTCGACGTACTCCATGTGGAAAGATAGTTCAGCTTCAACGAGCTCACGAAGACGCTGCGCCGACAAAGTTTTGTTTAAAGCAATTAATTGTTGCTTAATCGACGCGCATTTCCTTTTATTAATCGAAATTGACTCGGAGCTGTTGATCGTTACATCGGCTGATGCGACGTCAGTACCCTTTTTTGATTTGCTGCCCTTTGGCATTTTGGGCTTTGCAGTTAATTTGGTGCAACACTATAGATGCAAGTAAGTAGGAGTATGTAGCTGTACTATCACCAGATACCTCCGTTATGCGATAATGCATTTACGAACGAATTCAATTTATTTATTTTTTTTTAAGTTTTAATAGCTTTTAATTTTGCGTACACGATTTTTGCTTGCACGCAAATTAACGAAAATTGTGTTATAATGCGAAATGACTTCTAACCCGATCACGTCGGGGTCACCAAATGTTTTGAGGAAGCGCTGATTTGCACCACCTATGTACCAAATAAAATAAAAAACGCGCTTAAAATTTTTAACAACTTTATTGCTTCGTGATCCCGATAGAAGTGAAATCAGAATACAATGTAAAATTGAGCTATGCTCATGCTAAAATGTACATAAGAATGAAGTGAGGGAGAAAATGCAAGAATTTTAGTACTTCGCAATGAGAGAATTACAGTTTTAAGATCATGCGATTTAGTGCTGCGAATAACGAAAAATACAAAATTAGTGATGCTGCGAGTATCGAAAATATGAAGTTAGTTCTGCTGCGAACAAACGGAATCATAATAATGAGATTTTTGATGCCGTTTATCTTACCTTCCTCTCTCATACTTTGAATGAGCTTATTCACAAAGAAATTAAAGGAGTGAGAAAATGCCTTACCAATGATACCTCATAAGTCTGGTAAGGTTTTGGCTGAGTTATTCAAGTTTTTCTTAAACCAGTCTTTGAAAAAAGTTTAAAGACAGCATCAAAAATCTCATTATTATGATCCCGTAGAACATTTTTTTTAATATTTCTATGCAAACTCTTTAAGCTTAAACTGTCTATTCATCTGAGGTAATTTTTTCAAAAAATCTTTAAAAAAAACTTTATTAATAAAAACTCAATTTTTGGAGGTATTTTCAAATATTTTTGCGAGATATTTTGGTGGAAGTCTTAAAATATAATAGATTTTATAATACCAGTGGAAAACAGTACCGATTCTTTTTTTGTATGGGGAGTTATGCAGTCTACTGTACGTAAGTTGACTATGATAACTGGGCCGTGCTATCATAGTAGCACAATGTCACTAAGTGCATTTTAAAATTTTCAGGCAATAGCCTAATGCGATTATCGATTTTATTTTTTGTTGTTGGTGTGAAATATTTTATTTTTATCAGTATTTTTCTTTTAATCAAAATATGTTGAAATAAAAGTGAAAATAAAAAATATTTTGTCATGTAATTATACGGTATTTGAGATCATATTAATGTCATAATCTCAGTTTCCTTCAACCAAGAGCGAAAGTGATGAAACTGAAGGCAACAACGAAAAACACAGTGATTCAAAAAAACACTTGGTGTTTTTTGTGCTTATTCACAATGTTTTTCAAGTAAAAATGTCTTGTTGCTTTAACTAAATCCATAAAAATCAAGGAGTCAAGCTATGTACAACATTTAGAAAGATTCAAAAAAATCGAATTATTTACTCTGAATTTTTAGAACAATTTAAGGTATGGAGTTTTATAGCAAATAATACTTGAATCTAATTTTTTAATTTTTTTGCCGCCAGTCTTTTGTGGCTTTTTTTTATTTAACAATTTCCATTGATAAAAAATGGCGTTGATTTAATTTTTTTTGCGAACAATCATATACTACGTTTATACGCACGCATTATTTGCAAATAACAATTTGCAAAATGGTAAACTTTGCCGTTAATGCTGAGTTAATTTTTTATTTGCAAATAACTTAATCACGCAAATAAGTATTGATTAGTGGTACTATTTGCAACTAAGCGCAAGACGCTGCCATTCTTAGGTTAATTTTCTTTTCGATGGTCATCTTATTGCCTTTTTATAATCAAGACGTTGCCATTCTTTTAACTTTGTTTTCCTTTTCGATGGTCCTATTATTGCCTTTTTATAATCAGGCAATATTAAAAAAGAATTTTTCACCATCGAATAAACAGTGAGTTAGGTATTTGCAAATTATTTTTCTTTGCAAATAGCTTACCTATAAACGTAGTAAGTGTGCGTATTTACATACCAGCCAATTTTTTCTTTTTATTTAAATAATCATTTAAAATATTTAGGCAATCAAAAGCTCCTCGGGATTCCAGTAAAATAAGTTCTGAATGGAGCACGATATGTTCGCCTTATATCGATATACATTTATACGTATGTAAGTATATAAAAAGTGTGCAAAGAAATTTATAATGTAAACATAACTACGAAAAATATACGGGAACGAAAAGTTCAACAAAAATCTACCAAAATGAGAAAAAACTTACCTTTTTACCAACCCAAATTTTGTCTACTAAATTTGGGTAACAATTTACCAAATTGGCAACCCTGGTTGTAATGGTAGGAAGCCGGGATAACCTAGTTAATGAAATTCGTTCTCTTAGATAAATAGGCTCCTGAGTTGTAATGATTTTATGCAGCAATGTCAATCATCTGACCTTAAGTATGGCATCAAAAGCTATTGAGGAGATTTTTAATGCGAATTCAGAAATGCGTTCGTTACGTTTAATACCATATACACATGTATCGCGCAATATTGTTGTACGAAACATTTAGTTTTCTACTGCAAACACTATCACAATCAGCGTACAGTTCACAACCATATAACAAAGTGGGTAACAACCCAATTTGCCACAGGGTGAAGACGACGTCGTTACGACGTCGCTTTGGTGAAGCCGTTACGACGTCGCCCTGGTGAAGTCGTTTGGGTGAACTCGAAACGACGTCGTTACGACGTCGCTCTGGTGAAGTCGT